GATGCACCCACTGGTGGCAAGGATACGAGTACCGACACAAAGATATAGCTGACATAAGGTGTTTTGGAAATTTCACGCTCAATGGGGGAATAATATATGGGATTAAAACTTTTGTTGATACTACAGGCTAAGGGCATAATTTTGGAGTTGCTGGTCGGGAGCATCATATGGGGAGCTTCTTGGTGTTCCGCGACGTTTTGGTGGAGTTTGGCAGGAGACACGACATATAGGCGCGGACGTATTTGGGATATAATGTAACGCAGTTTAATGGGATGAGTTTGTATTTGTTGCCTACTTGATCATGTGGATTTTTTCGAGGTAGAGTCTTGGGGGAGTGTTGACTTTGCTTCCCAAGTGAGTACTAAACAAATGATAGCATCTGAGCACCCATCGAATCAGGAGCTTTAGCTCAGTGGTTTACAATCCCTCGTGGCGCAATGGCTAGCGCGTTCGACTGTTAAATAGTGATTCTACTTGCAATCGAGAGGTTGGTGGTTCGACCCCACCCGAGGGAGTTTATCTTTTTGATTCTTTTTACATTTTAATAATACTGGTTGACGAGGGGGTTGGGGGGTGAAATACTAGAGTTTACCTCTCTGTGGTGGTGTTCTATATTTTTGGTCGCGTACCTGAGCGAAGTCGCGTATTCCCCAGATAAGGCTGATAAGGCTGGGAGAGAGTCAACACCACATTTGTTAGATAGATTTCCCTTTTGTCCCAAACCTACCATAGTTGAAATTACAGCTCAGCTGTAATTTCACGTTCCAGATATCACACATGTCGGCCGGGCAGTACGATGACAGTAATCGCGCCTTTCTCCAAGCCTTTATGGCAAGAGGCACCTTGACGTTCAAGGAAGCGCGACCCCTCCTCGCCGCCATATTCTCTGCGAAAGATGGTACCCATCCTACTCCCCTCCAGCTTTGCCTACAAGTTTCTAACGAGCTATAATGCAGGTGAAACTGTTCGCCCCGATGAAGTCACCATGGCAGATTTCGAATCTTACGTCCACGCCGCCTCCGACGCCTTGTCACCCTTCGACTACGAGATTCGCTCCACACTACACCAGGTCTCGAAGGAGCGCATATGGGCCCTCGTGAACAGCACCAGCGACGCCCTGACGCAAATGGCAACAGTGAGGACGGCAGACGAGATCGCATTTATCAAGCGGGTGCTAGACGCCATGTTCGAGACGTACAATACCGAGCGCCAGGAAGTCATGGCGATTACCAGCATGCAGGCCATGAAAGTCGCGAAGGCGGATGAGAGGAGGATGCGGCAGAGCAACGGAAACGGCGAGGAGAGCCAGAGTGCGGATAAGGGACTCACGCACGGCCAGGCCGAGAAGTTGATGCTGAGTTTGGTGGATGAGGGATGGTTTGAGCGCAGCAAGGAAGGGTGGTATACGCTTTCTCCGCGGGCGCTGATGGAGCTCAAGTCCTGGCTTGCGGCGACTTATAATGATCCTGATGCGGAGGCAGGAGAGTGGCAGCATATCAAGAACTGTGAGGCGTGCAAGGGGATTGTGACGATGGGACAGAGGTGCTCGGAGGTGTCGTGTACTGTGCGCCTTCATGAGGGTTGTTTGGGTCCGTTTTGGAGAACGAGGAGGGAGGAGAAGTGTCCTAAGTGCAAGACGCCGTGGAAGGGATTGTGGGTTGGGGAGAAGGCTGTGACGACGACAGAAGCATATAATCGCGGCAGGAGAATTAGTGGGGGAGGGAATAGGAGGCCAGCACAAGAGGATAAGGAGAAAGAGGAGGAGGGGGAGAACGGGGCAGAGGAGGGAGAGAAGGACGACGATGAGGATGAAGTCTGAGGGACGGTATGTGGAATATTACGAATGGCTGGCGTTAGGAGTTAAGGGCATGCGGGTCCAGGTGGCGTTGGGGCTGGAATTTGCCTTCTCAAGTGATATTACTCAATACCAAAAGATCTCCAAAAGCTGGAAATTTATACATATACGGGGGCTAGTTGGCGACTATCAATGCACTGCTTTGAGAATCAGACTATACAAATCAAATTGGTATATTGATCGACTATTATTTGCCAATCATGGTCATACATGTGATCCATCCTCCTCCATCCGCATACCAGAAACTCGTTTTTGCGCCTCATTATTGTATCATCCCGCGTCAGTAGCATAACAGCCGTCTTCTCGTAATACCCCTATCGTTCATAATCGTGATTCTTCTAACCCCCTTGACTCTCATTACAATGCTTTCCACTTGTTCTGCCTTAGTCGTGGCGACGTCTGGATGAAGAGGCTTCGTCTGAGGCATCTTGCCGACGAGAACCACGACTTCTTCTCTTTGGTGAAGAGGCGCTATCGAGACGACGCGAATCGTGGCTTAGCCGTCTCGGCGAGCGATCACGGCGGCGCGAATCATGGCTCCGTCGTCTGGACTCAGCATTGGGCGTCGCGCTGGACTCCAACGCTAGATCATCATCAAGCTCGACAATACGGCCCTCAATGTCGACCACCTCCGTCTTGCCTTCTGCTGCAAGTCGTACTTCCTTGCCTCGTTTGTGGCAATACCAGAAGAAGAAAAGTAGAACTATAAAAGTTAGAATGCATACTGTAACGTGGAGTAGAATATCTTACCAAATAGACCCAAGCTGAGCAAAACATTCGTGCCCATGAATGCAGGCCATCTCAACTTCAGCGAATTCATGATAGTCTTCAATAATCCAGCGACCGCTCCGGGTTTCGTAACGAGGTCTTTCAAGCCGTTCGGCTTTAAGAATCCCTTGGCCGCTCCCATGAATCCTCCGCCCGCTGCTGCACTAGCTGCACCCTCCGCCATACCTGACTTCTGGGCCTCTGCGGCGGTAGCCAGAATCTCCGGACCCAGTGTGCTGGTCCACTTTTCGGGCAATTGCGCGATTAACTTCTTCATGAACGAAGGAAGTTGCTCGTAGGTCTTCGAAAGTGTGCCCTGCGAGTCATCCAAGAGATGGACCAGATCATTGTATGCAGTCGGGACACCGTTGACGAGGTCTTTAAGGACGAGAGTGAACTTCTCCATGAGCTCGTTGGATTCTTTTGAAAGAGACAGTGCGCGGTTGTTGACTGCCGACAGGTTGAGGTCGTTCAGAACTCGGGTGATATCATCTTCCTCTTTCTCAACCTCCTCAGCCGGGAGATTTGCCTTCGCATTTTTGTCGTCTTTCTTCGACTTTGTAAACAAGGACGAGAATCGGTTTTCCTTCTTCTTCGCTTTCTCTGGTCCCTTCTCGTTCTCCTTGTTTTTTCCCTTGCTTATAGACCTCTCTAGCTGTGGTGTGTTTCCATCGGCTACGACAAGCTCTTGGTTCAAAGCAGTCGGGCGTTCGGGAAGTGGTGGTGGTGTCCCCTCAGAGACAAGGTGTTCGATGAACCTCTCATCGTCGGGGCTTAGAACAGGTTTGAGTGGTGGCGTCAGAGCCTCCTCTCGGGCGCGTTTCTCGGCCTGGTGCTTCTTTACTTTCTTATATGTGAAGTATTCCAGCATCTTGATAGCTATTTCAGATACAGGAGTGCAATATCTAGATGTTGTGAGGGTTGAATCAGAGAGGTTGGGTTCATGAATGTTGACGAGTGGCGTAGGTGCCAAGAATCCACAGAGGGGCATCTGTGGCTGTGCAACGACGTCACAAGCGCTGATAGCTTGTGACAGGACTTAGCCAAGCTTTATCATAACACTTTAATATGCTTATATTTTGCAAAATTTAAGCAACCCAGCAAATATAATCAAGTCCTAGCAGATGGATAACTATTAAGTCTCCTCACAGTTGCCAGTCACTGACCAAGATTTGGTATAGTATGGCCTCTGTTTGTTTATGATTGGTAGTATGGCCTCTGTCCGTTAATGACTGGTAGTATAGCCTTCAGTACGTTCATGAGCTTGCTTTTAATTTCTCATTTTATAAAAACGAGGATCTAATCGCTATGAAATATATCTAATGCACGCCAAATGAAGATCAACTACTGGTGGTAATCCATTCGGCTGTCTCCAAGAACCCTGTATATTTCGTCGACAATATCTTGCTGGCCACTGGGTGCACCTCTCACAGCGAGGAACTTCCTGCAGTCCACAGACACTTCTTCCCCTGGGTTGCCGCTTCTCATGATACCACCAGCCTCTTCGAGGACGCACCATGCCGCTGCAACATCCCACGCCCAGCATCCTCCTTCCCAGTATACGTCTAGCTGGCCAGCAGCTACGGCGACAAGGTTAAGCGCAGCAGAGCCCATGGACCTCAGGCTGTGTACCATGGCACCTCCCTGCTCCTTGGATGCGGCAAGCTTGGCGAAGGCCTTGACTTTAATGTCAAAGTTGATCCCGCTGCGGTCTGAGCCCCATTCCACACCGACAAGGCAAGTGCTCAGGTCCTTCAATGGCTCAGGGCTAGCTTTTAAAGGAAGCTTTTGCTTTGGGCCACCGTTTTGCGACAAGAAGGAGCCTTGGCCCTTAATGGCAGTCCAGAGTTCGTTGAGGAATGGGTTGTAAATGACGCCGACCGTTGGCACTCGGCCCACCGTGAAACCAAGGGAGATGCAGACGCTTGGAAAGGCGTGGACAAAGTTCGTCGTGCCATCTATCGGGTCGACAATGAACGTGGGAGCATCAGTCAATGGCTGGCCCGGATAGTATGTCTCCTCCCCAATGAAGTCAAACTTCGGGTACGCTGTGCGCAATTCAGAGGTCACCATGGCCTCCACAGCCTTGTCAGTTTCAGTGACAAGGTCGGCAGCTACAAGATATCAGCCGAATCATATGAGGAAGCATTAGAACCGGTTGGTTGCCCAAACCGTGCTCTGGACTTTATATAGTGGGGGCGTACAGTTCTTCTTGGTGTCGGAACCAAGCGTTTGCGGGGTTGCAGACATGATCATCTTGCCCGCCTGGTGGGCGACCTTGACTAGAAGGTCATGGATCTCTGTGAGATTGATATCAGACATGTTGAGTATAGTGATTCTTTGATTGTGGAGGAATTGGTGATTTAGGAATGTCAGATGTGATTGAGGTGGGGTATGTAAATAAAGGCGGGGGTTATAATTTGGTTGGTACGTACTTTGTATAGCTCCGGGAAACCCACCGCCTGGCAGAAAAAGTCTAGCCTCAAGACCAGACGAAGCGCCGAACGCGCCCCACTGGCAAGTTGCGTGAATGATTCAAAGACAACGATTACAGTTACAGTTTGCCCGTGTTATTGGATATAGAGGCTGTAGAGGAGCACAGTACTTTGTGGCTGCTCGAACATTCTGCGCAATGTCTTCCTCCGAAACCAATTCCCTCGCAAAAGACATCAGCGCAACTCCTGCTGTCAGTCAACATATCCACCATGATGGAAAAGACTACAGCACAATAAAGGAAGGGCTTGCGTATATTCTTGTCCCTGGAAATGGGCCTTTGGTGCCTCAAACCAACCCAAGTGGCGACAATCAATCCCAATCGGTCTTTTATAACCCAATCCAACAATTCAATCGCGACCTGAGTGTTTTGGCAATCAGGGCATATGGAGAGGGTGC